TGTAAAAACGACACTTGAACGTTTGGGTTTTTTTGCGCCAACTATTGTGCATCCTAACAATAGTCATATTGTTCGTGTTCAACTGCGAATAAATGATTCTGGACTTTTTGAGGTTGATGAGGCGGATGTCATTTATCGTTATGCTGCAAATGTCTCTAGTAAAATCAAACTGAACACAACAACAAAAGATCTAAATACTTCAGATATAACAAATACTTCAAATATTACCAATACATCATACCGAACTGTCCATAATATTAAAATGAAACGAACTTCTGCTACCGTTGCAACAACAGTGAGTTTTACAAATCCTTCACCACTGTCTGAGGAAGCTTTTAGGCGTTCAAAAAGAAGGATTGCTGAGATACTTGACAAGGAAAGAAAGAAACATGAAGCAGCTGTGGCGAAGAATAATTTGGAAGCTTATGTTTTTTGGGCGAAAAGCGAAGGCATTTTGGAAAACGAAACTGCTTTAGGTGTGATAAGTACAGAAAAAATTGAAATGTTGAGGAAGAAGTTGTCGGAAGTGCAGGAGTGGCTTGAGAATGAAGACTGTGGCTCTGAGCCATGCAGTAAGGAAGAATATGAAAAGAAAATGGAAGAAATCAAACAAATTGTGCGCCAGGAACCAGACGCTACCAACGAAACTGAGGTTGTAATTGAATCTAGCGACGACGATCGGGGTGATCTGTGAAAAACTGGAAGATTGTTGATTTCATCGATTTTATTTCTGTCTTTTTTGTCGTTGTTGTTGTTTTTCTTTATTTTGGCTGTTCTTTAATAATTATCATTAATATCACACAAGGGGTTTCAAACTTAGACGGAAATATCCTTAATTATTTATTTTTAGTCTATTCTTTCGGGGTTTTTTTATTTTGCGAAAAATTTTGAAATCAAACTCTCGGTGTGGAGGGAGGGGAGGAAAGTGTGTAAAAAGAAACGGTAATCATCACTATATCTAGAGTTTTTCTACCCTGTATGCGTGTGTTTGCCTGTTTTACTTCTTTTTCTGATAGTTTTTATTTTGTTCGTCGAGAGTTTTTATTATGCGTCGCGTATTTCAATTAAGCTCCACCTTATTTTTGGCTTCCGCTCGCTTGTATGGCACCCGCTACTTTACGGATAGTCATGAATGGGTAGAACATGATGGTGGTGTTGCCACTATTGGAATTACAGCCCACGCACAGGAAAGTCTTGGTGATGTGGTGTATGTCGCACTTCCAAATGTGGGGGATCAATTAAATGCAAAGGAAGTATTTGGTGAGGTGGAAAGCGTCAAGGCCACCAGCTGTATGTATTCCCCCATCAATGGTGTTGTTGACGCCGTAAATGACAGGGTAAAGGATGAGCCAGCTCTCATTAACCGTTCTCCTGAGGGTGATGGTTGGCTTATCAAGGTGAAATGCAGCGAACTTCCTCAGGGGCTGATGACCGAAGAAGAGTACAAGAAATTTATTGATTAGAATACACACACACATCAAAAAAAAAAAAAAAAAAAAAAAAAACGAAGTAGGGACAACGATTTTGGTTTTCTTTTTTCCAAGAAGTGGCGCAATAATAATAATAATAATAAGTTAGGGTCTGTCTGTGTAGAGAGAAGATGCACAGGGATGAGATGATCAATTTTCAACTGCCATTAAATATGCGTTACCTTCGTCTTGCGCAAAATCAGCAGCAAAAAGTCCACATCAATGTACGGAAAAGGAAAGTTAAAGGGCTGATAATAGCAGGCATTCTAGGGGGAAAGTTGAGTTACCGTTTTTTTTTTTTTTTCCCTTTTTTTCAAATGACTTATTTTTATTTATTTATTTTATTTATTTATTCATTATTATTGTTTACCATCTTGTGTGATTTTACTTATTTATTTATTTCCTCCTTTTTGCGGGGTTACATTTAAGGCCACATGTCCCGCGTTGAAGAGGCACGGTTGTATAGTTGGAATGCGGACCTAGAGAAGCGTGCCGCTGCGGTTCGTTCTGCTAGGTCGAAACTGGAAGAAAAAAAAGCCGCCTGTATTCAACTGGAGGCTTCTCTTGTTGAGCTTGCCAATGAAAATGATGCTAGTGAACGAATTTTATTCCAAAAGGAACAGTACGTTGCATCCCGGAAAGCTGTACTTGAGCAAGCCAATGCAGAGCGCAGCTCCCAGCGAAGCTTATTGGATAGAGAGAGAAAGAAAACGACTATGGATGCGGAGCGAGTGGAAAATGCCCTAGACAATGAGTGGCGCGGACTCGAGGAGGAGGAAAAGGCAGCGGAATTGGGACATCATCAACGGATGAACCGCTTTCAGCAGCAACTGGAAGAGCTTGGGAAGCAGGAGACTGAGCTTATTGAAAAACTCCGGCAACTTCAGAACGCGGAGTTAAATGTATCGAACCTTTTGCGCCAGCTTAAGCAAAAAGACGAACAGTTGAGGTCTTTGTCAGAGACAAGATTGCAGCATATGCGAGCAGAGTTGCGAGAGCGTGAGGCTTTTTTGAACCAATAACGACATTCC